TTTAAGTCAGAAATTCCTCGGTGTTATTGAATCAAAGTGACTCACTCGCTAGCTCCAATTGATTTTTTAAATGAGTTTCAAATTTACTAAATTAAAGTTATATTAAACAGTGAGCCAACTAAAACCAAATATCGTGATAGCAGAACTTTAAAAATATATGTTATAAATCATAAATAGAAATTTTTAGCCAAAAAAAAAGAAAAAAGTTTTAAGTAGGGGAGAGCGGGGCACGTTGTCATACTTTTTATATTTTTCAAAATATTTCAAAAACCTATTGGTCAATTTTCATAAAAACTATTTTATATGGTAGTTTATCATTATAGTTATTTAAAAAACAACTTTGGAAAGCTTCAGACCATTTGAGTATAACATGCCACCATTTCTAAAAAAGGCTCCATGATATGAGAACTTGCCCCACCGTCGGAGCATGTTGTCATGATAAGAGGGGCAAGTTGTCATAATTACATTTTATCACAAGTGTAGGTCTAAAAGGTAGAAAAAAAATATTTTCAAATAGAAAACAAGTATTATATTAATCATTTATAAATTATTAAAAATAACATAAATTATGTTATAATTTATACTCTAAAACACTTTGAAAATGACCATTAATAATCATCATCAGAGTCACAGTTTTGGCAAATGTAGCTGGACCCTCCTGCTGTACATTCTTCATGTGCCTAGCTTGATCACACACAGCATTTGATCCATTTTTCAGCATCTCTGCTATTAGCCCAAATATCCATGCAAATAATACAGTAAGTTTCATCTTCTGATGATGATGATTAGTCTTGTGTATGCTTTTTTGTTGCTTTGCCTTTTCCCTTTCCCTTAGAAGAACTTTTGCATTTTTTTGGCAGTGGCTGTGCTGATCTCATAGAATTTTTGAAAAGGGAATCAGTCAATATAGACGACGTTCTCTTTTTGCGTGTGTTTTTGGAAGGCTTTCTTTCTAGTGCCTTTGGTAATGGCCTTACTTTATCTGGAGATGCAAGCTCAAAGCATTCAGAAATTGATTTGGCTTGAGATGTTGAAGGCTCCTGTGATGACAAAGTCAAACTTGAAGTTGAAGCACAAATGGATTGTTCTGGTGAGACTGTAACTTCTGAAGCTTGAGGCATTGTTAATTGAGGATTGGTTTTGACTGGCATAGGCATTTCTGTTACTGAACTTGGAGCAAAGTCCAAATCTGTAAATATTTGAGGGTTAAATGGGTGGATGCCACAGGAAGAAAATCCGCTCAGTATGTTGTTTGGTGTCATGCTCAATGGAAAGGCAACCTTCACTATCTCTGGAATATTTTAAATTGTCATACCCTTTCCAGGGTTACTGACTATCCAACTGTTGATGGCTGTATTTACAGCCTTTTTAAAAGGGCCATAGACTGTTCTATCTAGTAGCTGCAACTTGTGGGTGCAATGGGGTGGAAAACTTAACATAATAATTCCATTTGTTGTCGCATAGTCTAAGTGCATTTAATGACAAGTGCGAAAAGTGATTGTCAACCAGTAGCAAAACTGGATGCTCCTTTGAAGGCCGTGCATTCTTTACAAAATGAGTAAGAAATTTACAAAAAGTGTCTTCCTTCATCCAACCAGATGGATTTGCGTCCCCATCACTGCCAGGTGGTGCAGAAGATAAAAAGTGGTCCCTAAAATTGACTCTCGGAAATACGAAAAAAGGTGGAATACTGTTACCAATAGCAGAGGCAGCACATGCCAAGGTAACTAAAGCACCTCTTTCTGCTGAGGTTATTGCCCCAATTTGCTTTTGGCCCTTTCATGAGATCACTTATGGCACGTGCAATGCTTGTGGCCTCTGGAGCTCTAAAAGATAATGTTGGATTTTTTTGTAGGAAAGACGTAAACCAATCTCTTCCAGCACAATGATTTTCCATCCATGATTTTGGCATAGCCAATTTATTAGCATCTGCTAATTGATATGCTAGTTTCCTAACATCTTTTGGTGTAAGGCCAAAGTAAATATCTGAAGCTCTGTGCAAGTAGCTACAGAGTTCAAGATTAAGCTCCTGTGTCAACACTTGCCTGAAAAAATATTAAATATATACCAGTATAAATACTTATTTTATGGAGTCACTTATAATAACAAATATTATAATCCTTAAACATATTAACAATCTACAAACCTAGGTTGTACGTACCCAGTGTGAAATGAAGGTCGATTTTTCTTGAAGATCTTCTGTAGAGGCTTTTGACAAATAGCGTTGTAGGCTTCTATAGTTGATGTTGAAATCTAGAGACACCTGGGCTATGCTTCTGCCATGTAACTTTACAGCTTTCACTGCTTCAAGGATTGTGCATTTAGCTGTGGTACCTCTACTGGTTTTCCTTGGATAATTGCGAACCATGATTTAAAATCTGATAAAGAAAAAAAAAAAAAAACGTTAGGATAAAAGTCCAAGTAAGCAAAACTTTATAACTGTCTAATGTCTATAACTATTACTATCATTTATTAATGTTTACTAAGGCTTATTATTAATCTTAAATATTATGCCTAATTCATTTTATTGATGTTTATTACTTATAATAAGCATTGTATGTATTATTAAAATTCATTTAAGACTTTTACAATTATATGAAAGTATGGAGGCAATTTTTTTTTATATGACAACTTTCCCCTTTTAAAATAGGGCAACTTGCCCCACAGGGGGTAGAGGAAGGTTTGACCTAAATAACTTTTTATCCTTGCCGTAAATCTGAAAAATGACTAGCACACCAATAAAAGAATTTCCAAAACTATAAACATTTTAATGTATTAAACACAAATATTGCATATTGTTACGTTATTGAACATTTGAACAAAAAAGTTAAAAAGTTACTTACCAACGAAATTTTTACTTTTTTTGGATTTGTAGAAAAACTATTCGCGCGAATTTCATGAAATCAACTGAGCAGTCATCTTTCAGCATCATTGGTATAGTTTAAAAAAATCGCAGCATCAATCCAGCTATAACATTCCGAAATAGCAACTATGACAACTAAACCTTATGACTTTTAGCCCCGCTCTTCCCTATAAAAAAATAATAGTATAAAATTCAAGATAACATTACCAAAAATGATTTTACTCATTTTTAAGATCAGAACATTTATAAAGATAATATCATAAGTATATACAAACTTGAAATTCGCTTGTGTAACTTTCTTCTCAGCAAATCAGCACCTTAATAAGAAACGCTAAATAAACACAACCAACAAATCTCAAATTAAACAAAGCCATATAAAGTATTTACAACAAAAAAAGCAAAAGCTTATTAAATGCTAAATATCGCAACCCATGGCTTGTTTAAATGAAATAAAAACTAAATGTAAATACTCAAGTTCATTTATAGATAGCAGTTTGTAAATGTATATACATATACAAACTGCAATTTATAATAAAATAAAACAAAAACACAAATTCACTCATAAAAAACTCAAAATATATTTAAGTTTACTTTGGACTTCTCTATTTTCTAAATTACTGTCAACTAACAAATATAAAAATGTTTACATACATAAAATAAAAATTATTTTATTATATTCTTTTTATAATATAAGATTATAATGCTATAATATAAGAAAATGAAGAAAAAAAAGCATAACTTCAAAAAATTTATATGCATTTTAAACACGAATTTTGAAAGAAAACAGAGAAATAAATATAACAATTCTGTAACAAAATTAAAAAAATAAAATAATTTACTCTCTAAGAATTATTTAAATAAAAAAACTTTAAAGCTAAACAAATATAAAAAGATGACACTGTCAGTGACGTCAGATGTCAGTGACAAAAGAAAACTACAAACCTTCATTCATTAAGGCCGTTTTCCACAAGACGAAAAAGTCGCGCGAAGCGAATATTTTCGTGGTTAAGCATGCGCAGATTAAACATTTCTGGCGATTATACTGCTACAGCGTTTCGCTGCAGCGAAAAAAAAGTCGGATTCATTTCGACTTTTTGCGAATCGCCATAAGCGAAAACCTATAAAATTTTGAATATTATATCACGTGATGTCAACATTAAAAAAAAGCGAAAACATGTTTTTTTTTTAAAGTAACAAAAAAAAAATTCTTAACCTGGCGTTCTTATTAATTTTATATGAACTTATATATAAAACTAAATCGAAAATTTACAAATATAAATTTTCACACTGTCAATAACGAAAGTTACACTTCATAAGAATGTTTATCTTCAAGTGGCCACACGAAGATAAACCTTTTTGTGAAAAATTCTTTATAGAGTTAAACCTGCTGTTCGTTCTTGCAGTAATAGTTTTTAATAGAAATGTTCATATCAGAGTTTAGCATTTATTTTCTTATACTTTCTTGTAAAAAAAAACCTTATATTAAATGATTATATTACAAAATAATATCACATCTTACATATAAAGGCAGAAATGTTAATATTAATGCACGGAAAGAAATTTTCACATGCTTAAAAGTAGAAAGTATGCTAAAAATGTATTAACTGCTTTAAGTTAAACATATAGCGTAAACTTATTGCTGCCATTTTTATTGTTGACAACGAAAAAAAAGTAGCGCGAAAGAAAGTAAGTGGAAATCAAAACAGCGTTTCGTCGTAACGAAAAAATTCGCTTCGCGCGAATTTTTCGTCTTGTGGAAAACGGCCTTTAACTATTAACTAAATTATTCATCTCCTAATATGAATTAATAAATACAATAGATAGAGAGATAACTTTAGATATAAATATAACTAGAGATAAATATAATTATAGTCATCTATATTTTAAAAATTATAATATCTATAAAAACACGAAGTTTTAAAATAATAAAATTATATACAGGAAGAATTGAAGATATAAGTTAAAATTAAAAAAAGTAGTTTACCATAATAATATAATGTTACCATAACTTAAAACATTAAGATACTTATCTGTTATGTTAAACATTTAGAGCTTAAATTGCTAACTTAAATTCATAGCATGAAAGGTCGTGAGAAAAGGTCTTTAAGCAAGCGCTCGATTTAAGAAAAGTCTAGAAACTACTTAAAAATGAGAAAAGAACTATTAACTAGCTATCGAACAATGCTTAATAAGTGCATTCAAAGGTAAACGTTAAATAAAATTATTTTAGTTAAATTATATTTAGATGTAATAGGCGGTCACAAAAAACCTGCTCATATTAGGCCTGATGGGAAGTATGACTTAGTGAAAACCTTGTGTCGTGATAATCTTGAATACTTGATAGCTAAGAAAGCAATAAGTCCTAGGACAAAATTGAGAGACTTTCATGTTTCGAAATCGTTATATTATCTTTTGAAGCAGCAACTTCAAAGACTTAAACGCGAAGATGAGTTAGCTGCTGTAGTGAGAAATGCCAAGAAATCTGCAGCTAAAATGCAAAAAATTGCCAAATTGAATCGATATAAGTTGAAATGTCGTGATGTTGATCCAATTTACATAAACAGATTATATGAACATGATGATGGCCCTGTTGCATTGAACACTACTACATCATCGTCGTCGTCTGCTTCATCATCAGGCGCGAAGATACAAAATCTTTATCTTCTGGATCAGCTTCCTCGTTAAATGAGCTTTCGGTTTCTGATAAGTTTGCTTTGCCAACAGCAGCTAAAATTAATTTTTTTTTTTTACCAGCAGCAGCAGCTAAAAAGAGGAATTGGTGGTATCTGAGCAGGAGGAAAACACATCTCAACGTCCTTCGATTCCAAGTACATCTGCAGCAGAAGAAGAGGTTGGAAAAGCAGATAATAATTATTCTCTCCACGCATTAGATGAAGAATACATGAACTAGGGATCAAATAATAATCGAGCAGTCAGTCCCGAATGCCTTAAAGAAACAATTATCCAGTATACGGCCGAAATAAATCAAACAGAATTGGACTATAATCAATCAAGTACTGACTTTTTACTCAATTATAATCCACCTGCTTCAAAAAGGAAACAAAATACGAAGCTGCATTCATTCAATCAACACGGCCATAATTCGAATGACATTCGTAATAAGCCGCTGTTTTTGGACTTATTTTGAAGTTATTAAACGCGCAGTATCTGATAAGCAGGAAGAAAGTGAATCAAAATCAGAAACTGGCAGTAGCAGCTCTAGTAGTGAAAAATAAATATTAAAACATAAGCGAATTGATTACTTTAGATTAAAAAATAACTATTAAAACATAAGCGAATTGACTCAGTCAGATGAATACAACTTTTTTTCTAAACATATCTTATACATATTCAGTTTTACATGTCATGTAGCAAAGTCATAAGTATAATTTTTTTCTTATTTTCTTTTTGAATCAAAAAAACCTTGTTTATTATGGTTTTTGATAAAATAACTTCAATAAAAGAGTAGTCAAAGTTAGCAACATGAACTCCAATAAGTCGGGAGTCAAACAACGACTTTGTTCTTTGAAGTATTCTGCAACGATATTGTTGCAAGTCAAAATTTGGATTGTCCCCATCTTTGCAAAGAACTTTGCGCATAAGTTTCATATTTTCTAACCAACCTTGTACTGACTTAGATAGATAAAGCTACACTTAAAACTAAAAAGTGTTGATATAGGTTTTTTCGCAAGATGCTTTTCAGCACAACTTTTCCAGTATACAATAAAATTTACCTATACTCAGTTGCTTTCCAAAAATCAATTTCATCAAGCGAACGTGGTTTTCTTACGAAATCTTTAGGAACACATTTTTTTAATTCAAGCAATTTAGCACTAATGTCATTCTTATGAGCTGCAGAAATTTTTACTCCTTTTTTGTCAGTATCTCTAATCCAGGTTACCAACAATTTTCGCATTACACCAAGACAAGACTGATGCATATAGTCGATTGGAAAATCCTCAACCATATCTATAGATAAAACACAAAATGGTGATACCAAACCAGTATGGTGATGATTTGCATTTGATTTTTGACGGAAAGATTGATTATCTCTCAGTTGCAGTCCAATAATTTTTGGATAAGTCATCCGTCTTTCACAGTAAAAACCTTTTTGGTTACACTTGTCGCATCCGTTGTAACCAGAATAAAGTTTTACACACTTTACAAAACATTTAGCAGGTGTATCACAAACAATAAACTTTAATGTTATGTTTATTATGTTTGCATTATACTCCAACCCAATTTCAAGCAACCATCTCAGTTCTTCCACTGCTTCATTTAAAAACTGGAGGTTGTCAGGCTTTGTTTTACCGTAAGTCAACACAATTGGAAATACTATGGGAACAAAACTAACATTAAGAATAGCACATAAAATTGGACACATACATGCTTTTGTGCTCTTAAAAAGCGGTAGCCCATCTATATTCAGAGCGATATCCAAGTCAAATAAATTATTTAACTTGTCCTCTTCTTCAAGACGACCTAGTATTTGTAACAAATTTTTTTTAATTCCAAGATAAATATATTGCAGCCAGATTTGCAACAAATCTCCACAGTTCTGCATGTTTGCAACAGAGTTCTTACTGTAGCTGGCAATTCAGGGTGCCCATTAATTTTTAGGCGCTTCAACAAATCATCCCCAGCATTGTGTTTTACATCAGGGAACAGTTGCATCCATTCTTTTATGTTGTCACTAAATGACATACTGTTTTTAGCAGTTGAGTCAGAATCCGAATCAGATTGAAAGGAAAACTCTTTTTCCGAGTTGCACCCACTTGAAAGCAATTGATTATCCTCATCTAAACGAATATTACAAGTAAATGCACTAGCCACACCATCATTGTTACAATTTGAAGTTATTTTATCAAAACAATATCTTTCAGTGTCGCTGTTGCTTTGAATGTTGCTTTGTTGCTGCGATTGTTGCTAAAGAGATCTCTTAGCTGCCATCCACGTTCGTCTGTATATCTGACGATAATTATTGTTTCGCTTCATTGCAACTACTTACTAGTATGATAATATAATCAAAATAGATTTTACATACCCAGTGATTTCAATTAAAACAGAATAAAAGTAGTAAGGTTTATTCATAAAAATTATGATATATATATATATATATATATATATATATATATATATATATATATATATATATATATAAACATATTATATATATAAACATATTATATATATAAATATATATATATATATATATATATATATATTTATAAATTGTAAATTAATTGTATACATATGTGTGATACTGTGTTAATAAGATATATAATAATATTGTTGTAAACCCGATCAGGACTAATAACAAGTGTAGGTTAGAAGTAAGGTTATTATTATATTATCTAGAATATAAATAAACACAATATAAATAATATAAATATAAAAACACGATATCACAATATGTATACAATTTATATACAATTTATACATAATTTGTACATATAGTATAAATTATATATATATATATATATATATATATATATATATATATATATATATATATATATATATACATATATATATATATATATATATATATATATATATATATATATATATATATATATATATATATATATATATATATATATATATATATATATATATATATGTACAAAATATGTACAAATTGTAGATATATTGTATACAAATTAAATTATAAACCCACTATAATAGTCTTTATAATAGTATTATACATATATTACAATAGTATTTCACCTATTTCACCTTGTTTTCAAATAGTCTTTACAGGGGCCAATGCTATAAACATAAAAAACGAAGTTTTTCCCGTAAAACACGAAGTTTTTCCCGGAAAAAACAAAGAAAAAAAAAGTCCATTGCTATAAACATTTAAAAGTTTGCGTTTTTAAGATAAAAACTTCGCTATATAATCCAATGTTATAAACGAACAAGGGAATCGCTTTTTCAGATAAAAAATGCGTTTTTTCGAAAAAAAACTTCAGATAGATTTTTGATCTCAATATTAGATATTTCTTCGTGATTTTTAGCGCCATTCTTATAACAACGTAAGCAATTCAGAATCATTTAACATTATTTATTTGTGTTTATATGTGGATATTTTTAGATAAAACTGAAAAGCATTTTGGTAACTCCATAATAAACTAATTACTTATAAATTACATTAAATCGATATTTCAGTACCGCCTTGTGTGTCGTTAACAATGCATGCATTTATTTAACATTCCATACTTTTTTATGTAGGCTTTCGATAGTAATTTTGGTTAACCACATTTTTCACAATGTTTGACTGAAGAAATGTATAAATAGTCGACAAATAATCTATATAATGCACAAATACACAACAAGATAAAATGCTGTCTAAAGAACTTAAAATGTTACTAGCAATGAAGATCAGAGATAACAAAGAGGTTCTTCTTGGGAAACTTAGTATGTTTTAATTAGCAAACTGTTTAAATAAAAATTTGTATAAATGTATTATGTTATATTTTATATATATATATATATTTATATATATACATATATATATATATATATATATATATAAATATATATATTTATATATATATATATATTTATATACAGATATATATGGATATATATATATATTTATATATATATATATATATATATATATATATATATATATATATATATATATATATATATATATATATATGTATATATATATATATATGTATATATATATATGTATATATATATACAAATGCATGTATAGGTATATATATAGATATGTATGTATACATATATATATATATATATATATATATATCTATATATATATATAAATATATATATATATATCTATATATATACATACATATATATATATATTTATATTTATATATATATATATATATATATATATATATATATATATATATATATATACATACATAAATATATATATATATATATATATATATATATATATATATATATATATATATATATATATATATATATATATATATATATATGTATATGTATATATATATTTATATGTATATATATATATATATATATATATATATATGAATATATATGTATGTATATATATATATATATATATATATATATATAATATATATATATATATATATATATATATATATATATATATATATATATATATATATACATACATATATATATATATACACATATATATACATATATATATATATATATATATATATATATATATATATATATATATATATATATATATATATATCATATTTATTATTTTACTATATAAAATGTATTGACTATTTATAATTTATTGATATTTTTCTTTCAATTTTAGGTCCATGTGTTACTATGAGGCATAGAAATGGAATTTGGGAAGAAATACTGTCAAGTTTAAATTGTCTAGGGGCTAAAATTGAAGATATTAACCAGCTACGTAGTAGAGAGTGGGATTATTTACGACGAGCCACAATACAAAAATTTGCTAAAAGTCTAAAAACAGGTTTAGTTTTATTATATATATATAAATATATATATATATATATATATTTTAACAACAATTATAAATGTATTATATAAAATAGAGTGCTCAATGTTCTTAAAATAATCACATATGTAATTAAATATTTTTGTATATATATTTGTATATAAAATTTACAAATATATGTAGATGTATATATATTTTTTAAGGTGCTGCAGGAAGACAACTTACAGAGTTAGATAATGTTGTTTTAGACATTGTTGACAGGAAGTCTATAAATGTATCTGGAATTGATGTTCCAGATTTTAATATCTCTTTTTGTACAAAAGATGATGCTTTGTCATCTACTACCAACCAACTTTCCAGTTCCACAGCCATCTTTTCCCCATCAAGTAAAGAAGTAAACTTTACTTTGAAACAATCTTCTGATACAGCTTCTTTGTCTGGTATATCTTTATTTTTTGGTTGACTAGTGGTGTTATAAGATTTTATATATATATATATATATATATATATATATATATATATATATATATATATATATATATATATATATATACAAATTAATTATTTATTTTAGATACACGATTTGATCGTATGTCCTCCTCCTCCCCTCATTTAGACAATACCACTCTTGTTGGTGATAGTCGTCCAATGCTTCAAGGTAATACAATTTCTAGTTTTTTTTTTTCACAATTTGTGCCAAATTATTTCACATCACATCAAAAACTGCTTATTTTTAAAGGAATCTAAACCATCTTTTTTATTATTTAAATTAACTGATCTGGTTTTGACACCTATAATTCAATTTTTAGATTCAACTCAAAATAAACCATCAATAGCGACATTAAAAAATTTAAAAAGAAAACAAGCTCGAGAAAGTCTCTTGGTAGATGGAAATTTCAAAAAATTGAAAGTTAGTGTTTTAGGGTTAGAAAAAGAAAGATTAGAAAAGGAACAAGAATTAAGAATTAAACTTTTGAAATTGGACGTTGCTCACAGACAACAGCAAATTCGAAAAGAAAAAGCTTTAACAATATATTACACAACAGCAACAAAGCTAATGAATGACAAATTGCAACCTTTAAACCAGCAACATTTTAAAAATATAGAAACGGTATTTTAAAATTAATTTATTGTAGTATTTAGTATCAAACTTTATAATTAATAAATTTTATAAATTATTTTTGTTGTTTTAGGAGGAAATTCTAGAGCATTAAGGGAAGAGCTATATCGTAATTTTATGTTAATTTTCGAAAGATATTGTATAACTATATTTAAACATTTACTTTGAAGGTATTTAACTGTAGATTTTTTTAAAGAAAATAAAAAATTAACTCCAACAATTGTTATTGTATTTATTATTTATCACCATTGCCTTACAGTAATAAATTCTGTAAAAACTTGCGATGTGAAATAGATACAAGCATTACAACTATACCACTACCGCATTTAAATAGCGAGTTCAATTTATGGTATCGCATTGGCTAGTAAACGATTTTATAATTTAAAGAAAGTAGTTCTAATAACTTTTACCTTTACCTCTAAATTCCCTTTCTCAACCCTTTTTTTCGAGTACTCAGCACTCAACTTAAGAATATTGTATGTATATACCAGATATTTGGTACAATATCTTTCATATTTTAAATTTAATTTATATTTTAGTTTAATATTAATTCGATCGTTTATCTTAATATTATGCTGTTAAGCAATTTTTATCTTTTTAAAATACTCTTAATAAGAATTGCTCTTAACAACAAAAACTAACAAACCTATTATTTTTTTAAGCTTGTTCTATAAAAAAACAAAATACAAATACTAAAAAACAATTATAAAATGCTTTTATGATCTAATTTTTATAAAATATCTTGCATTTGACAAAAGTTTTTTTAAATAATATTTTTAAGTAAAGTTGTAAAGTAGCTGTAATCGTCTATTCAAAGCGATATCATTCTGATTTTCTTGAAATATATTTTCATCAACTTGTTCTTCTATGCGTTCTTCAAAGTCATTACCGTTGTCTCCATGTCGAATACACAAGTTATGGATAACAAATCCACACATGATGAGCTTAGAGGCATCTTCGACCTTGTGCAAACGAATTCCCGTTTTCAAAGCATAAAACCTGTTTTTTATAATGCCAAAACACCGCTCGATTATGTTTCTAGTTTTTCTCTGTGCTATGTTGAAACGTTTTTGAGCTCTGCCTAGATCACTAGGAAAAGGTGGAATTAACCATTCTCGGCATGGGTAGGCAGAGTCAGCCAAAATTACAGCTCCATTAAATGGAAGCTCTCCAATTTCAAACTTGTTCCATAGGTTACAATTTCTTAGAACCTAATAGTGGTAAAATCACAATATTTAAATTTACTCTAAGTTACATTAAAATACAAATCAGTCTTAGTTTTATTAGTCTTAATTAGCAATAATAGTTCGAATAGTATGTTTAAATATGAATATACCGAAGTACGTACTAGTTGAATAGCCAGCATTAGTGCACTAGCAGATGTAAAATATAATTTATTAAAAGACTTACGTGTGCATCATGCCACCTTCCTGGACTGTTGGTTGATGCATAAAATATGGATGTGTCGGGTCCACATACAGCCATTGCATTTATGCTATGGACATGATGGCGATTGATTAGAGAATCTTCGTCTGCGTTAGGAGGGTTAGAAATGAGTATATGAGACCCATCCAGGACACCACATACGCTAGGAAAACCTCCAATTTCCATAAACTTTTGTGGAAGAGTGGAGCAATCATTGGGCCATTTTATGATCTCTTGTCGAATCTAAATTGAAAAGATATCAACTTTTACCTTTACTCAACTTAGTTTATAATTTACCTACCAAAATAAAAGTAATAAGAAACTTTATATGACAACGTATAAATTTCACTTGTTTTATTAACTTAATACACATTACATTGAAAATAGCTTCTCCTACACTGTGTATAATACGATAAACTGTGTTGGTAGAGATTCCATGACAGTCTCTGAGAACATGAAAAAAAACATTTGTGCCGATAAAATGAAGAAATACCATTATCTGGAAACGTACTGAAATACTTTTATTTCGCTTAGTGTAATGTTGCAAATCATCTTTAAGCCTAGTTTCTAAAAAATCTAATACAGCTCTTGGGACTCGATACTGCTCTCGAAAAACGTTGTCAGAAACATCTTCGTTAAAAAAGCGACCAATAAACTAAAATGGAATAGAAAAACAAAACAAAAATATTATTTCTGCGTACATTTAGTATGTTTTCTAATTTAGTTAAAAAAACATCGAAATTTGTCAATTTTAAGTAATGTTTTAAACACCAACCTCTCGAGGCAATCGGTGGCGAAGCTCATTTTCTGCAATTTCCAAATCTAAGTCTTCATCCGAAAAAACTAAATCTATGTTCATATTATAATTTTACACAGTTCTTTTAAACACCAAATAGTAGAATGTACAAAAATTTATAGAAGAGGAATAGACAGCACAGCCTACTTAATAACTAATAAAAATTATTAAATAGGCAACGCATAATAGTAATTAAAAAAAATTGTTGTTATCAATGACGTTTACGGATAAATTAAAATTGTGAATTTAAGTGACGTATACGTTTTATACTCTATAGCATTGGCCGAATAAATTCTTCGTGTTTACGTCTTTTTTTACGTAAAAATAATTTACACAAAATATTGCGTTTTTAAGATAGATTTTTTTTCTCGAAAAAGACTTCGAATTATTTATAGCATTGGCCCCAGTACTTCTTTCGCGTGGCTTGAGTAAAGTTTTCGGCCCGTTTAAATAGGAAGCAATCTTAAATGAAGAGACCGCGCAACCTAATATCCAGTTTGGTAATATGTATTATATAACATTAACGTTATATGAACGTTATACGAACGTTCCGTGAAAGTTCTCTAAAATATTTTTAGAGAACTTTCACGGAACGTTCATATAACGTGCTCGAACGTTCACAACGTTCGTTGAACGTGCTTGAACGTTTTGTGTTAGCTGGGTTAGGCCTAATGGGAAGTATGACTTAGTGAAAACCTTGTGTCGTGAAAATCTTGAATACTTGATAGCTAAGAAAGCAATAGGTCCTAGGACAAAATTGAGAGACTTTCATGTTTCGAAATCGTTATATTATCTTTTGAAGCAGCAACTTCAAAGACTTAAATGCGAAGATGAGTTAGCTGCTGTAGTGAGAAATGCCAAGAAATCTGCAGCTAAAATGCAAAAAATTGCCAAATTGAATCGAAATAAGTTGAAATGTCGTGATGTTAATCCAATTTACATAAACAGATTATATGAACATGATGACGGCCCTGTCGCATTGAGCACTACTACATCATCGTCGTCGTCTGCTTCATCATCAGGCGCGAAGATACAAAATCTTTATCTTCTGGATCAGCTTCCTCGTTTAATGAGCTTTCTGTTTCTGATAAGTTTGCTTTACCAACAGCAGCTAAAATTAATTTTTTTTTTTACCAGCAGCAGCAGCTAAAAAGAGGAATTGGTGGTATCTGAGCAGGAGGAAAACACATCTCAACGTCCTTCGATTCCAAGTACATCTGCAGCAGAAGAAGAGGTTGGAGAAGCAGATAATAATTATTCTCTCCACGCATTAGATGAAGAATACATGAACTTGGGATCAAATAATAATCGAGCAGTCAGTCCCGATCGCCTTAAAGAAACAATTTTCCAGTATATGGCCGAAATAAATCAAAAAGAATTGGACTATAATCAATCAAGTACTGACTGTTCACTCGATGATAATCCACCTGCTCCAAAAAGGAAACAAAATACGATGCTGCATTCATTCAATCAACACGGCCGTAATTTGAATGACATTCGCCATAAGTCGCTATTTTTGGACTTAGTTATTAAACGCGCAGTATCTGATAAACAGGAAGAAAGTGAATCAAAATCAGAAACTGGCAGTAGCAGCTCTAGTAGTGATGAAGATGAAGAGCCTTTTAATGATGATGAATTACCTGCAAAAGAAGCCGCTATTATTCAAGATCATGCTGCATTTGTCAACAATTTCTTCAGCAAATATGCAGAAAACGAAATTGGTAATAATGATGCTGCTGTTGACAACGAAGAAAAAGTTATTTCTCCCGATGATCTGCATAATTTCAAATCAGTTATGGATCTGGAAATCAAAGTAAGAATGAAAGATATTGCTGCTAAACATCCAAAGAAAGAAATAACATGGGATAATCTTCTGAAACATTTTTTTTCACAACTAGACTTGCCAGAATCAAAAACAACATTTGTACTTCAAATGCTGTCGAGTTCGAAGCTTGATCCTAAACTTGCAGAATTGCCAAGGTCTGGAAAGGTATTAATGGAGCGTCGCGTCCTCAAATGGAAACTGCCAGATTGGAGTACATGTAAGTTTAAATAAAAACTCTATTTTATACACTTATGTTTATATTTCATATTTATACAGGCAAATACCGTGTGGTGAATTCGGTACATATGCACATTACAAACTGCTTGCTGGATTACTTGGATTTTTGATAGGATCAATTTCTAAAGATATCCGCTTTTATCTTGATGAGCTGATTACTCGATTTCCTGAATACTTTGCTAAAACTGTCATTGATACAAAACCATCCTTAGTGACTGGCAAACGGAACAAATACAATAAAGATCTATTGAAATGGCGCTGGCAAGTCATTCGTAGGAAGGCTGAATCAGTAGCTGCAGCAGCATGTATGCGTGAATTCTAATATAATTAATGCTTAACACGGAATCAAAATGCTAATATACAGTAATGTATAACTCTTATTTGTTGACCTACTGTAATTCTGATTTACCATTACTTCTAATTCTTACTTATATAGTGTAGATTAAATATTCTCATTTTGTTACATAATTCTTCAGCACTTAAAAGAAGTTATTTATGTACAGAGGCTGTTTCTGAAAACGTACCAGATTTATTAGCAGTGACGCTAGCAGAAATTCCTGCCTTGAAAGAAACTCCTCGTCCTGATGCTGTTAAAAATACAGAACAGTCTGCTGACGAAGTAGATGAACAAGAGGTACTTGAAGAAGACGAGTTTGAAGACCTGCAGTATCATTTGTCAGAAAACGAATATTCACCGCGTAATTTAGACGTAAACCTAGGCGGAAGTGATGACAACAATGAGGATTTTAGTGATGCTGATGATGAGGCTGAGGCTAATACAGATTCAAATGAACAAAGTTGCCCAATGCCATTAAACTTTCCGTCAGTAAAGCAAAAAAAAACCAATTACAGTTTCATCAAAATCTCGTCCAGCAACTACTGCTGCTACTGCTACTACCGAAAAATACAAAATACCATCAGAGGCAATAAAAAAGAGAGTCTTGGGTTACAATGTCAGCGATATGTCGAATTCGGACTTGTACTCGACCAACGAAGAAAGACCAGAGCACATGTTCCGCAAATCAAGCTCTGAAGACTCAGACGATGAAGGTGTTGATGTGAATGAGGTCTATAAGCGATTTATAGCTACTGGTCAGAAGCAAAATCATTGTCAGAAGTGTAAGAGAAGCAACAAAATCCCCCATCTTGTCTATAAAGTCAGCGCAGATGGAGTGCAAATCCAAAAAAAAGCTGTAAAATCCGCTTGTTGGCCAATAATGGGTTAATTATTGTATATAAGTCCTTGCACTCTCCTAGAAAATCGCGTCCGCTTCTACATGCCACGAAATTCTAAACCGGTCATCATTGGTTTTTTATCATGGAATTGCCAAGCCGTCCTGTCCTAATCAATTCCTGAAATGTATTTTCAAGGAAATGAAGTTAGCATACAAACGCGATTGTGCACAATGTTTTTAAAATTCTTCACCGGTAACGGCCCAGCCAGGAAGTTTATAAAAGGATTCCCATCTTCAAATGCCTATTGCGGATGTGAAAGGTAAGTAGAAATTAAACATACTGTTCTATTTTATTTTTTTTCTAATTTCGTTAAACTCAATAATACTTAACTCCGATTTTTTATTTCTTAAGATGTGGTGAACGCGATGTTTCCTTGTGCAAAGGCATCAACAAAAAGACTGGTGGACCTTAAAGAGGCCATTTATCGATTTTTCCAACCCGAAATTTACTGATGCGAACAAAGGAAAATTACCTGGATGCTGACATGTATCACAAAAAACTTCCTGATCCACACAACATTCTACTGATGTATTCGTAGCAAACAGAAGGTTGGTTCAACATATTGCATAGTATTCCACTTAATGCTATGCATACTGTGTATAGCTGTGCTGTTCCCTGGCTTTTTCATTATACATGGATTGACGGCAAGTTAAAGGTGGAAATCTCTCTAAAGCATTAATGGATTTATTGGAATTGAAGCTGAAGAAAGTGAAAGGATGTTTGCCATATGCCATCCAGTTAAACATTTGTACTAAACCATTCAAGAAATTTGGAATTACCTGGTCGTGTGCTGAAAAGCGAATTTTCCTCCTTTATGTTGCAATCGTTATTCTCAGGCACCCGTTAATGAAAGCTGAAGCATACAAAATTCTGCTTGCTTTTCAGCATGCCGTAATGTTGCTTGTTGGCTCTGGGCACAATTCGAAGGTGCCAAAAGAACCGCTAAGGAAAGTAAGAGAGAATTAACTGTATTTAGTTGAGAAGTGTCAAAAGTTGTATGGCGCTGACTTCCCACGTTAAACGTTTCATTGCTTGCTGCATATTGTCAATGATTTGATTGCAAATAATTGTCGACTTGAGTATTGCTGCATGTTTTGGTACGAGAATTCGTTGAAATTCTTTATCCATGTGCTTGATGGAAGAGACGGACATCGTGTCCATGCACAAATCCGCAACAGTTTGATGCGGAAAAAGATTTCAAACATTCTTCTGCCGCCAAAGTGAGTTTTAATTCCAACTTAACTTAAACTTTTCTATTTTTGACTTTTGAAAAGTTACTTATTTTATCATAATTCTGACTTTTTATAAACAGTTGTCAAAGAAGACGTGCTCTACTAAAAGGTGGAAAAACAGGAGCAGAAACAAGCATTATACACCTTTTGAACTTCAATGAGAATGATTTTGGTGTCATCAACACAATTTCTACTGACCATCCATCAAATAAAATTTATCAAATGTGAGAGGAAGGAAACAAACCGAGTGCCTATGAACTCCAAGTAACGCGCCATATGAGACGATTAATTTTTCGGGATTTTACGATCTCCCGAACAAATACCCGAACAATGTTGTTCTCGTCAACAGTTCAATTGGCAAGCCTAAAGTCTGCGTTGTTTCTGACATGCGATATGATGGTGTAGAAGACAAATTCAAAGTGACAATTTCTCCTTTCAAAAAACAAGGAGATTTCTTTGAAGGATATCCGTGCGATTCATCAGATTTCAATATTTTTCTCGTTTTTGGAGATTTAAATCATGACAGAAAAACGCGAAGTTAATGCAGGCTGCATAAAAAATCAGTTCGTCTGCCTCTTATATGAGAAAGAAGTTACTGACATTGATATCAATGTTAAAGAACAAAGTCAATTTAACATAAAAATGCACAGTGGGTATGCACTCCTTTGTTCCATGTTATAAATAGTCAGTAAATCTATTTTTCCATGTATTTAATATAATAAAGATAATAATAAGGTAAAAACATTTGTGTATTAAATTAAAAATACGGAAACGAAATTCTTATTTATTTGGACTTACAAAAATTTTGAATCAATCCAATCTCCATAGGGAGACTTTATATAAATAGAGAAGAAAACAAAAATTCCTAGAGTAAAGGTTCTAAATTTAAACTATGCAGGCCCGTAGCCAGAACTTTTTGAAGGGAGGGGAGACTCTTTTTTAAAAAAGCACCAAATATAAAATTAAAATAAAGGTGCCCAACAGCAATATTTTGTTAGCGCCTAAAAATCATTTATTTTCGATAAGATTCAAAAATTCAATTAAATTACATCATTATTTTTTTAAAGATGCGCTCTTTTTATGGTGTGTACTAAAATGTTTTTTAAATGTATGCTAAAATAATTTTTTACTTCGTCGAAGCACGTGTTCCCCTTTCACCCCCTCCTCTACCTGCTATATATGTTCCAATAATTATTTCAATAGTTGTTTGTACTGTTCTACACTTGATTTAGATTAATATATTACAAAAAGAATTTTATTACACAAAATTTCTCCTCTTATGTTATTGGCTGTAAAACAAAACTTACATAGGCTTACATGACTTACATGACTTAGAAGTCTGCCACAACTAGTGTAAATACCATTCAAGCTGATGAAATAATAAACTGAAAGCAAAAAACATTTTTAACCAAAGCCACTTAAACTTCAAAATAGAAAATATGTTCAAGAACTAAAATGTCTGTCTTTCTCCATGGAACGTCTATACGCTTTTTTGCCAACTTTCATGGCAGCTTTTTTGGCAGCTTTTTTGAACGCCTTCTCATTGTGTTCAGACCTCTTCTTCGACTTCTTCTTCTGTTCAAAAAAAATGTGAACAGCTCTAATTTTTTTCTTAGTGTATTGATTTAAAATCAAAGTTTACCTTTGGTTTTGGTATTACCTGAACTTCCTCAACCACGTCCTCTTCACTAGCTTCGCTAACTTTGCTATCTGAGAATTGCACCGGACTAACTGATAATAGCACCGAATCTTTATCACGTTCTGTCCCTTCGTCACTCTTTTCTTCTTCGTCATTGCTGTTGTTGCTCGCATCACTGTTATCATGCTCGTGGACGCTTTTTCTTGGATATAGTTGAACTTTGACCAGGTTGTTTATTGCCACAACCTGGAGGTGAATAGTCTTCTGGCGCACCAATATCGTCATCATCCGCGTGGTAGGCTCGAATTTGTAAGTACTCTTGGTACATTGAACGTGCCTGCATGTGTGTCAAATTTTGTAATCAGTTAGTAGGAAATACAAATTTGACTTATATTAAATTTAAGATTTTGCCCACAAAAAAAAAAAAGGAAAAGTTTAAGAAATAGAGGATTTTTAAAAATATAACACTAATAATCACTTGGATCTTGCCTGCTGCATATTAAGTAGAATAACAAAGTATTAAAAAATGACCTCAATCAATTGGTTTGTCATCGCCGGACAATCCAAGAATGAAATCCTTCAGACATATTATTCATCGCTCTTTCTTCAATACGTTGCAAGCGATGAGCAAACGAACAATAATTCAAAAACTCCCTCCTCGGTTTCTCATTGACTGTTCGATTTGGTCGTCTACAACTTCCACCAGCAGTTTTTTCTACTGTGTTATTTTTCTTCGCGGTTTTCTTTGCCTTCTTCTTAGCAGCTGCAGAAGATTTCTTCGATTTATTTTGACTTGTTCGGCCCCCTTTGTCACCAGCAGATCCTTCAGCTTCGTTTTGACAAATAGCACTTCTATTAGAGCAAATGAAGCACGTATTTCTTCGGACTTTCTGATCTTCTTTGAAATCTGCTTGATTAAATTCCGGTCCCTGGTCTATATCTTCAGAAAACATTGCCAAACACATTCTGCCGGGATAGGCTGAAAAGGAGTCTTGAAAGTCCGTAATATACATTCCAGTGGCATATCTTCGGACGCTGGCAGCCCTAGCTTTCTTAATTTCTTCATTCATTTTGAATGTTGACGGTGGTTTCTTTTCACTCAGCATTGCACGTCGCCGCATGATGTGGTAAATCATTTGGGTCAATCTCGGAAAACGTGATTTAAACAACAGCAATTTCTTCTTCTCCCCATCTTTCCTACCAAATTCTTTGAAGCCATCTTTCCTGCATTCACCAATGCTGGCCCAGGCAATGAGGCTGGATAAGCTTGGGGTAAAAAACTTATCCCACACGAACCCAGCCACCATTCTCACTGGGCCACCAGCAACCGAATTCGTAACAAAAATCATTAACAAGAAGCTGACATAATCAGCATTCTTGAACATTTCTTCGGCAACGCATAAATCGCCAATTTTCGACAAAGGTAATTGGCAAATTTTTTGAATTTCGCTTGCCATGGAGAAGTAAAAATCACTGTTCCCATTGATTGTTAAAAACCTCCTATCGCGATTGAGAGTTGAAACCAAAAGCTGAAATTGATTTTTCAATAGTTTTTGGTGAATGTCTTTGACGGTTGTTAGCAGATCTAACAAAATTCCACTTCCAAACAGATTTCCCTTCATATATTTGATGACCGAAACCCATGTGTTATTGAGATCAAAATTGCTGACTTGACTGCTGGTCACCATATCTTCAGTGCTCATAGTTGAAAATAGGTCTTGCATTTCTTTGTTCCGGGGTATGACAACAACAGGAACAGGGGTATAACCTCGGGTTGGAACAATTAATCTAGTTGAAGATGGAGTTTTGGGGACAGCAGTCACTATGCTCTTCTTATGTACAATAGGTTTCAGAATTGCTGGTTGTTGTGGAGGAATCGAAAAATCGAATGAAGTCGGTTGAACGAAATCAGATCCACTGTCACTTTTTGTTTCTGCATAATTAATTACAGCAGAACCAACATTGCGTCTACTGGCTCTGGTTTCTTGTTGAATAATTGGTGAAGCAACTGCGGATGGTGGTGGTACGAGATTTCGTTCAACAACAATATCAAGAACTTATTGCCCTTGATTAGTCAATTCTATATCTGAGCTGCTTGGAATACTGCCAGGTTGAGGACTGTCAAAGTCAGAGTCACACAACTTTTGACTGCCATGTGTTCCTGAAATTGAATCCACAAGAGCTTGCAATTTTGGACCAGCTTCGTCATTGTCTGTAAAATTTAAAATATCAAAATGAGTATATTTCGGAACACAGAATGAGGAGAAAAAATTGTTTTATGAAACTCAGAATTAGAATTTGTTTAAAAAGTTAATTTGTTTCATCGTTTTGTCTGATTTGTAAGATATAACAAAAGCCAATTTTTGTTTCGCTGATACTGGTAGAGTTTTCATTTTTATGGTCTGCTGCTTTCTCAATTATGTTTTCTCAAGCAATTTTTTCAAATCTTTGGGATCTTTTTCTGCCAATTTATTACCCTTCGCCAGCTTCTTATACTTCGGTTCTACTTTGTCAGCAGAAGACATCACCTCATCAAAAAACTTGCGCTTCAAAGATCGAGATTGACTTGTAGGAGCATCTTGGTCAAAAATGTTGATTGCAGATGGTAATTTTCTGTCAACAACTTTTATTTCACTTTTCACTAGAAGCTTTTTGAATGTGTTAGTTGCTTGTTTTTCCGACGGTTTAGATTTGTTGCTCGGCGTTTAAAGTGTACATTTTGTTCAATAATACAATCAATTAAATTTACAGAAAATATTAGCACCAAACAGATTTCAAATTTGTGCCTTGCAAAAAATGAACATTTGTAATGAAAATACACGGATTTTGAAGTAGTTTTATGGCTTCAAAAATAGATACACATAACAAGCAATGCATTTTATTTTTATTTGAAAGAGTCTTAATTTTTTCAAGAGCATATTGTTCAAATTTACAGTAAAATTACTATTTATTTTTGACAAGTCTCAAAATCATCTTAATTTTGGGCCATATATAACTCTCTCGAACAAAAATACATTTCATACATGAAAGAATCTTATGGAATTCAAATAATAATTACGATTTCGAATGTTGAATTTTGTGCCACTGGATGGGTAACACAAATATTCTTTAAAATGGAGCCTCGGAAACCAGTCCTTGGTGTGAAACTTTTCAATCGTAGTAAAAGTGTTAGACGGAACAAAATGAAATTGCCACACTCTGATTGCCATATAGACGAAATTGGAGTGGTGTAAAAAGTAGCAGCACTGCTACGTAAATTTTCTGGCTTTCCATTATATTCAGAAGGAACAGGAATGATATTTGAAGAATTTACAACTTTCCACGCATGTTTTTTATTGCGCTCATAATGAGCGTCGCAATCAAAATTATCTCTAATCATTTCTTTCAACATGTATTTTCCACAAAATCTCTTCGGATCGTTAGCTAAGATCCTTTTCACAAGTGGTCTGTACGGCACGAATTGTTTTCCATCACTATTGAAGGCTTTTTCAGTCATGTTTCAATTTTTGAGAAAACTTGTGAAATAAATTTCAAAAATTAAATGAAAATTATAAAACTTCAAACAGAAAAAGTCACTACAAAACTGAATTTACACAAAATAAGGTACTGGGTAAAATATTAACTGCAAACCATTTATATTTTACGTACAATATCGTGTCCAAAAATTTGAACTTTGTTGCAAACAAATCGTCATCATTTGTTAATGATGTACTAATGGTGATGTCTTCTGCTATTTTATTTATCGTTTACTGTCAAATAAATAATGTAGCGTTATGTTACAAAAACGATTTACAAAAATATAGGAAAATTAAGTGAAACTAGACTAATACAATATGAATAAAATAAATGAAACTTATAAGTAAAAGTTGATAAAAAAGATCCGGAAAATATGCATAAAGAAATTAAAAATTCTTTATAACTCTCCTACAAATTTATATATCAAAAGGAACATTCAAAAAGAGGATATAATATTGAAAACAAAACATTCCATGTACACTTTGTGCTATAACTATAAATATATACTATTCACATGTTTTAATTGTTAAATAATTAGTTAAAACTTTCTACATATATAATTTTTACAATTTAACTATAAAGTTCTC